CAAAGCACTAGGTTTTGGAAGGCACTGAAGGCAAGGAGGTTTAAAGGGGAGTGGGTGAAGAGGGGCTCAGTGAAATGCAAAGGGGGAGGGTGGCAGATGGTTGATAAATAGGAGAAAGCAACATCAGAAGAGCAAAAATTGTGTAAAAAATGCAACTAAATTAATGTAGTTACACAACCTAATTTAATTTTGTAGCTGAAGATGTGTGTTTTTGTAGCATCAATTTTCTGTGTTGAGCAATCCCTTTTTTGCCATGGTAACCTTGTGCGCTTACCAAAGGCAGGACAAACAATGCCTACATCACTTCTACTTCCAAAACAATTGGGTATGCCAAAACATTAATATTAAAGTTTTGTGTCATTGTAAAAAGCTTATTTTATGGCTTTCTGAGATATGCAGTATATTATTAAACCCTGGATGTGCACTTGGGGCATTAAGGTGTCAACAGCCAGCCCATGGGTGAGACTCAACAGTACCTGCATCTGGGATCATGCTTCTCTGACCTTACCTAAGCTTTCTATCCTTGCTTGACACCCAGGGAAAACACTGCAAGACTTTTGGCTCTTTCCCAGAAGAATTAGCTTATAAGAATGTACTTAGTAAGTCTTCAATTTCTTTCATTTATATAGGACCTAGAAAATAATTTTTCTCTCTCTGGAAACTCAAGGCATTCATGGTCTGAATTTTATTTGTAAAACTAAGTATACAGGGGTGGAAGTCAGATTAATCTGAACAGAACCTGATGCTGGTCATCTTTTTTCCAAGCAGATATTCAAGCCACCTAAACCAATTTTCATGTCTTTCCATCTATTCCCATATACCATGTTGTGAAAATATCACTCCCATCATTGGGAAATACTTTTTGCTAAAACTGGGGAAGGTGGGAAATTTCAAATAGCAGCAGAGGAGCTCTAGGTGTGGTGTGTTTGGTTGTTGTGGTCACTATTGCAAGCAGATGTGGTTCGTGTGCTTTCCTGTCTGCTGCTTCTGCATTGCAGGGATGGGAGGGAGCACCCAAGTGAGACCAGCGTTGCTTTTTCTGGACAAGAGCTGCTTTTTCTCAGTAGCAATGCTGACAGAAATGGATGTCAAAGGACAGGCTCGGTGAGTTGAACCTGACAAGCTCTGGCAGTGTTTTGCACTGGCAGGGAGTCAGGAATCTCCCACAGGAAGACATAGGTTCCATTTTTTAAATATTATTCAAAAATCCCCAGTAGAGTATTTGTGAATAACATGGCTCTGGTTTTCTCCAGGGCATTCCTATTCCAGCCATGCAATTCAAAACACATTTTGAAAGAGCAAGAAAGAGGAGAAATACATGAAAGTGGTTTAGAATCAATGCCTGACCATTTTTGCTATGTTTAGATTTCTTTTAGTAAAATTCTATATACAAATCTAATAAGAAAGTCTCCTATTTTCTGTTCTGAAGTTCAAGTAAAACTTCCCTGTTTTTATATCTTTTTCAATCTGTCACTGGGAATTCAAAGCAGAATTTTAAAAAAACATCAAACAAGCAACCTACACTTAGAGGGAACTGAAAAGCCAGGAGCACAGTGTAGCAAGTTCAGACATTAAAAAGCAACAGAGAATATAATATGCTCTGTGCAATGCAGCTGTGGCTTAATGCTGATTTGCACATTAGGTCTAGATTAGCATCACTCAGATGTGACCTGCATATTGAGCAACTATCACAAGTATGGTACTATTGATGAAAAATGAAACTGCATGGTACACTTCAGATCTAATATACCAACCTTTTGTGTTTTTAGATTCTACAAAAGTGTAAAAGAAGACCTATTACTTCTAAATTTTTATGAAATGCATGTAATTTAGTTTCCTATAAAAGTTCAGTTGGATGCTCAGTATGTTTATAAACCAGAATATTATATTACCATAAAAATGATTGGTTTTTAGCCACTCAAAGGCAAGACATATTCAAAGAAATGACCATATAAATGTTGATTATTTCAATCCTGAAGGCAGTCAAATCAATTTAAGGTGTTGTGGCCAACTTATAACAGATTTTGTGGCTATAATGCCTGCATGACTTTGAACACTCTAAAGTTCAAAAAGACCTTACTATTGATAAATGTTTGATTCACTTTCAAATAAAATGCAATTTGCATTTGACATGAAAGATTTTGTGCACGATGGCTCCCTAAGTCGTTTTGTGTTAGTTCAGTGGCAAGCTTTCGGATAATTACCTTCTGCAGCATTTTCCCAACATTTGACAATATTCCTCTTTGGAAAAATTAAAAAGATGAGTGTCCTCACTGGAAAACCAGGAAATAAAGACACATCTGGTGGGTTGGTGTTTATATCTTTGATAAAAGTGCAGTGTGCTGGCTGCAGATCTTTCTTTCCAGGAAAGCTTCCCTCCAGTGCTGCCCAGAAGTGGGCTGGCACCACCTCTGGGTTTTGGCATATCTCACTGGCACAAACCCCCTGTACTGCATGTGCTTAGGGGTCAGTGCCAGAGCAGGGGTTTGGGGCAGGCTGGAGGAGTCACATTGTGAGAAGAAGGGCTTGGCTGGGAATTGTGTAGGCTGGGATGGACTGGTGTTGGGGTGGCTCCCCTTGGGGTGCCCTCCCTGACTTCACAGGGGGTGCCTTCTGCAGCTGGGATGGAAGATAATCTTTCAGCTGATGCAAAGGTAAAACAGCAACTTGGGCCTCTCTGAACATGCAGTGGGGGAAGCTCACGGTGTTCTCATGTCAGATACCACAGTGCTTCTTTCTTCTTTATCTGCCAGGCTAAAAGGAATTTTCGTTTTTCCAGTGATTCATAACAGATCTCATAGGAAAACTAGATCTGTATCTAAATATTCATCTAACTTTTGCTAGACACACAAACACTGCACATGCATTGTGAGAGCTCCATGTGTGCACAAGGTCTCTATGCACACACAGCAGCAAACTTGTATTTGCTTTTTTAAAATTATTATGCAAATAATAATTTGACAGTGACAGGTATACCTGTCACTTCTAGGCTTGTTCAAGTGTTTTGTCTTAAGGGTTTTGGGCTTAGTTTTTTTTGGTTCATTGCTGTGTAGTGATAGATGGTCAGCTTTTCTCTAGTGATTCTAAGCTCAATGTGTAAAGGTGATATTGAGCTTCTGTTTAGTCTTTGCAGACAGGAGTAGAAGGAAATCATATTCATCTTATAACTGAAGGATAAACTGAAGGATAAACTGAAGTGCAAACCCTCAGGTTCTTTCAAAGGACAGTTAACAGGCACATAACAGCTTCAGGATTTTTGGGATTTTTTAATTCTGAACATCTCTACACAGAACAGTAGATGCAGTTAGGGAATCATGCTATATGTCATGTAGAAAAACTCAGATTTTCTGAATGGAAATGTCCAACATATGGTTACTGCATTGTATAATGCTAAGGTAGCTCTACTAAGGCTGTGCTTTCTAAAACACACCTTGTAGCAGATAAGGAACATTTAATTTCTGGCATAGTACAGATTTCTCATATATTGGGCTAGGAACTTGAAATAAAAAACTTGGCTGCTGATTTAATTACTTTTAAGTTGATATGTGTGTTAGCTTGTACATAGGAGAACAGCATATTGCAATTACTTGAATAAGGCTGTTAATGATAGAAAAAGATAGGTATTTGAATTTATTTTTAGTATAGTCATAATTAATACTGTTTCAAGCATGCAGATTTATCATGTTGACAATGCTACTGAACAATTCAATTAAAGAATATATAAAATTTGTTGGAAAGTTTCTACCAGTGTGTGACACCTGTCTCAGTTTTTCTATAATGACAAAAAAAAGTATGTTGCTCATTGTGTCACACGTATAATGCCATGTTTTCTGCAGTGCAAAATAACCTTTAAAGGTATTTTGATGATACTACATAGTTTGGAGAACATTCTAGCAAATGCTTTTCGTTTTAATTATACTACTTTTCTATCGTAGACTGTCACCAAAGGTCATCTATTGTTCTCCTTGCTTTTTTCACTTGTGTTTTGAATAGGTTACCACTAACATCTGAAATTACTTCTCAGTCCACTGCTACTCTACAGCTTTATTTGCACAGCCACAGGAAGCTACTACATCCACCCTTAGCTTTAACTTCACTGCCTCTCATCCAGTGATGGAGAGTGCAGCACCTTTAAGGATCCAGTTTGTAATGGGTCAACGGGACAGGCATCAGAGTGTACTTGACAGCTTTGTCAGCCCTACTACATTGCTGTGAGCTGTTGGTAAAACCAGTTTTACTCTGTGGCCATGGAGCACCTGCAGTCTCATGAATCATGTTGCAGCACAGAAACTCTTGTTAGAATAAACAGCAGGTAAAACACCTGATGCACCCAGGAAACAGTTCTGTTAAGCAATGAATTGCCACACAAACATATTATCTCTGAAGTGCAATGACAATTTTCCCTTTAAAATAGATTTTAAGGAACTTTTACTTCAGTAGCTACACAAATGGTGTTATTGGTCGAGGAATTGCTGCAATTCAAGGAGTTCCTTTAGACTTCTCTCCTGATTAGTTGCAATCAATTAAACATGCTCATCAAAAAATTCTGCAGAGGTCAGGAAAGGGCATTATCAGATTTTTCGGGCATTGTTTCTTTAAATTTTACTATAAAATTTATGTACAATTCTATGCTGGTAAATGTTCTTAATCATGCAAATTTTATGAAAAAGCTTTTACATAAATGGTGGCTTTAAAATATCTATATTGTTAAAAGCCCCCACCACCTCCTCATATTTCATGAGGTGTCCCCTGCCACACCTGTGTGCTGGGCTGATTATATCTGCCCTTTCTCTGGAGCAGGGGAAGGCTGACTGGGATTTCTTTTGTGTAGGGGGATTCCTCGAGTCAGAGGTGTAAATCAACCCACTAAAATGGAAAATCAAAGCAATTGATGAAGTGTGTATAAAGAAGGAAACATTCCACATTATTTCCTGGCACTGTAAGGAGTACAATCCTCAAACTGAAATACACCTGAGAGCTCTTATGGAATATTTGCTTACCAAGAAATGAGATCCATTCATGCACAGTTTTTCGACAACCACAGCAGATTCAGGCATTCCAAACTGAGGTGAGAAAAAAGGCAAGATTATTACAATAGTGTGAAACTTGGCATTTGTAAACAAACTAATTAATATTTCCATGCTCAAATACTCAGGGTTGAGGAAATTGTTATACTACTTGACAAGGATAATTAGAAAAAGAATATTGAGTAACTAATGATTAGGCAGTGACGTTCACATAAGAGATAAGACACAGTATTACCTCTTTCTTAGAAGAAAGATTACAGGGGATAAGGGCTAATGAAATTGTGAATGGAGTAGACAAGAAGAAATTTGGAAGCAGCAAATATCATATAAGTGGAGCAAGGAGCCCAACAGAAATACTCTGGATTGCTGTGGGATAAGAAGCTAGAATTAGAAACAGGTTAAAAGGTAACCTGAGGCAAAAGTTCAGCAGTAGCCATGTCATCATCCCACATGGCTGTTTACCAACCTCTTTTTGCTCTGCTTGACTTTGGCACCAGCTATTTGGGCTGTGTCTTGCACTTACCATGATGATGGACATTGCTGGAAAGAATTCAGGTTCAGAAACAGGATTTTTTTTCTGTAACTCGGTTGTGGTAATCGTGTTTTTTAACAAAGTTGATGTTGATTATAAATTAAAATTAAACCAGAATATCCAGAAGTATTACATCTTGAAATAGAACTAACTACTGAATAGTAGTTTGGAAAAAGCCTGACACATCGGATTTCCTATTAAAAAGTGGAAAAGAATGGATCAGGGCTGAAGATGTCCTGAAAATCTCATGGCGTGTTAGATGACTTAGTGTGGCTTTTAAAAAAAATTAACTATTATGCATGAAAAGTGGCAAGAAAATTTAGGAATCAAACAGGAACTCCTGTGGGAAGACTTTATAGCATTATTATTTGTCTTGAAAAAGATTGTATGCTCCTTTAGCTGAAGCGGATGAGACACCTTAATGGCCATGAATTCTCACTGTTGGTGTAAAGATGGTACTGGAAAAGATTGGTGCTCTTACAGTTAGAATTAGAATAAACACAAGAAAAAAAAGTCCTATATGCAAAATTACATAGAATAACTTGCAGAAAAACAAAAGAGATATAAAATGAGATTATGCATCCAATTTCAGGAATGGCCTTTAGAAGTTACAGGTAGAACTCTAAAACCTGAGTAATAGTATTCAGTAAGTTAAAAGGAAAAATGTGATTTAAAAAGGCTGTATCATGGAGGATATATTTTATATATCTGAGAGGAGATCAATAAGATACTAAAAGATGTCTGAAATGAGCTTGGAATACTTTGTGCAATTCTGGTTATTTTAGATATACTAGAAAGGACCTTGCAGAACAAAGAAATATACAAGCCAACAAAGGAATGGCTCAAACCCCCTCCAAAAGTTCAAGTACATTAAACAACATCTAGCAACTACTGTTTGTATATATGCATTGAGAACAAAACATGACCAGTAGATTCTTATTGACATGCTGTAAATATAAAAGCTATATTCAAATATAAAACTAGACATACTTTCTCTGAAATTATTGTTTTTTTCCCCAGCAGGAAATAAATTCAGGCATGAAATACCTTTTCCCTTATAAGCAACATTCCTGTGAGAAAATATTTTTTGTATGGTTTGTAATGCTGGAGATCTCAGTGTCTACCATGAATTAGATTTCTATAGAAAACAGGAGAGTACCAAAAACCTCATATTAATGAGTGGTGACGAAACTATTTTTAGCACTTTTAAATATTTGTGCTAGATGTAAGATAAGACATCTGGTTTTCAAGGATAAGTCCAGTAAGTGTTTCTGCTAGCTGAATATAGACTGAACTCTCTAAAGTCTTACATATAGATTCAGTACCTGTCTTAAGAGATCTGCAACTTGAAAAGCTGTCCAGTTCTCAAACTCCTCTTGAGATGGTAGTTTTGTGGTCATGCTTCTATGCAGGGAGAAAGACTTGATCTGCATGAGTAATACTGAACTCTTGCTCTACTGTTTTTTACTGATGTAGAAATCAGAGGAGGAAGTAGTTTTTGCAACTTTTTTCCTGTTCGGTCACTTAAAGTGAACGCCTGTAAAGGGTGATTTAGGAAGTACCAATGTTCTTGTGTGAGTGATTCCAGTATAAGGAAACTGGTTGTTATATCAAAATGTGCACATACCTGTCATTACTGAAAAAGTTAGTGTCTCATCTGCTATCCTTAAAATTTTCCTGCATGTATTTTTACTGTTAGAGTGACTGACAGGTCAGTTGTTGCCAGTGAATACCTTTTTGCTATTTTCTCACTTGGCAGAACACTGAGTCTGGCAAAACTCCATTCCCAGAGTTTCAGAAATAAGATTGAAACTCTTACTTAAATTTGGCCTGCTTAGAAAAACCTTAGAGGTGCTTGGCTGGCATATTATGAAAAAAATTATGTTGAATTTCACGGTGCTTTTTGTTGTTCAGTGTTTCAGAGTGGTGGCTGTGAGTTTTTCCAAGGGGGGCACCATCTTCCTGGATTACAGGAGACAGCAATACTATTTCCACCGAATGCAGACGAGAGAGGTGCATATATTCCTTAAGAAATTTTGCTTGCCTAGTTTGGGTGCAGGAGTGATTTTGTCTGTTGTAGAGTTGTCAGGAATTGTGAAGGTGGGAAGCAGCTGGGTAGGAGATGTGTGAGTTACAGGTTTAGTGGCTGCTTACAGGAAACAACCAAAGAACAGATGGCATCAGGTGTGGAACGTGAATAACGTGAAGTGCAGATATTTATGTGGTACAGGCTGTTTGCTTACCCAGTAGGTGTAAGCAGTCCTGTTCAGGAGCATCTCAAAGGCAAATTAAAAATAGTGAATTAAGAATTTTGCAGTTCAGTGTGTGCTGCCAGCCATACCTGCTCCACCTCCCCATCAGGCCGGGAGCATTTTTGGAAATGCTGAGAACTGCTCCTGGCTGCCAGCTGCTGTCACCTTCCTGCACTGCCTGCTGAGCTGCAGGGTGAGCTGCAACTCTGCCCTGCCAGCTGCCCCACCTTGCTGTGCCCAGGTGTCCTCCTTCTTTTACTTGTTTTCTCTCTGCTCTCCCTCAATACTAGATTGTGGCTAGTTCTTCTGTGTTGACATTGCCTTAATTTGTGTTCTAGGCTCTTAGGACAGTCTCTTAAAAGGTTAGGTGTTTATGCAGTCTGCCTCTGACTGCATAAACACTGAATGAGGCAGATCTGTTTGGGAAGGTGCTGCTCAGTTTTGTGCTCCCAAAAGGGCTGTAGCATAGGTGCTTGGACCAAAGAGACTTGTAAGACTTGCAGGAAATATTTTTCCATTAGTGTTTTAGTCAGATTAAACATAATGACAAGAGGGGAAAAAAAAAGAAAAAAAGACCAGGGACTTGGAGAGGCTCATCTGGGATCCTGCATCTCGTCTCTTGATGCTGGTGTTGCCCTTGGCTCAACTGATGCTGTAGCTCTCTGTCCTTAGTGTGACAGACATGGAGAATACTGTCATGCACTTCCACTTGCCTTCCATGACCCTCAAGGGGGTTATTTCAAGAATTGCTGTCTGGGGAATGCCAAATTTGGTTACTGACTCTACTTAGTACTCTCATACTTCTAGTTCCTCTGTGGAATGTATCACCTCCATGGTGTCATAAACCCAAATAAATATGTGCACTTGGACACATGTTGGCTGTGAGGGCTGTAGTTGGAGGAGTTCTTGAGCAGAATACTGAGGCTTTCAGAGTTCCCCAGATAAAGACAGGCCACAGAAATTGTTTCTTTCCAAACTTTCAGGTGCTTACATAAAATTTTGAAGCAGAATTTAGATACTTGAATGTGAAACAGCACTAGCCTAGGGCAGATCAGGCTTGCTTGCTACTTGAAAATTCCCTGGAGCCTCTTGATCTGCTTTGAACCCTGGCAGGCTTAAAAATATATTTGGGTATGTGTGCAGAGAATAATCTGCTATATTAAAAACTTGTGTCTTACTAGAGACATTAACACTTTTAATCTGCACTGTTTACAATTTCACTCCTCAAAAAAAAGGTAGAAATCTGATTCTCTATATTAAGAAATTTCTTTTTTTTTGAGCCCTAATGAAAAAGAACATCTAGTACTTGAGCACTACCAAATTTCAGAGGAATCTGAATGTGAGCATTTTATACACGAGGTATTTTGTCCTCTAAAGAGAAATTAATTCCAATACAGAACCTGTATATCAAGCAGAGTTAGCACATCTTTACACTATATATTGGCTAAAGTTCATTTCCTAGAGTCTGAAATGTGCAAGCAACATAAAGAACAAGTTTTTGTAGCTCCTTGTCTTTTTGTAAATTAAGTTCTCCATTTGTGATTTCATAGCTAAAAAGCAGTATAAACCTGTTTCCTAGATCATACCACTGGCATTTCCTACTAAATACTCTATATGTCTTCATGAATATAAGCACTAAATGTGTTAAATGTATCTCAAAACTTCCACAGTCAAGTTCAGCTTTGCAAAACCCCGTAGCAGCAGCAAGCAACTTGTTTTACTGGATGCAAGATTGGAATACTGCCCCGGGAAAATGTACTTGAGCAAAATAGGTCAATGAAATATTACAGTACAGAAAATATGAACTGCAGTCCCTGTTTGTTTTTTCCCATTTTATACAAAAATAATGAAAGTAACATGACTTACCACATACTCTTTTTTTTTTCTCCCAGGCACACATGTTGGAGTTGATTCCAAGTAAGTTAAAGGAGCAGTTTCTTATGTCTGCTCTTCCTCCTTAAACTGTCCCATATGTATCTTGTTGTTGCTAGTGTGATTGACAGGCTTGGCATTCATGGTGGGTGGGAGAAAAACATTCTTAAAGTAAAAAGCTAGAATATACTCATAGTCTAAATAAGTCTATAAAGAATATTGGAAAATGAAGTCTTGCCTACAGCTATCTGTCTAGAAGTTTAATAAAAGTTTTGCTAATTGGTTTTGTCTTTTTTCTTTTTTTTTATTTAACAGGAAATAAAAAAGCAACATAATCAACAGAAATCACAGAGTCTGAAAGGGACCTGGAGAGATTTTGGCAGGGCTTCAGCAGAGAGGCAGGATCAAACACAACTAGAGGAAATTGGGTCAGTCTTGGAAAACAGTTCAGTAACCCGTTTTTTAAACGGAGTTGTTGGGGATGCATCAGATTCACCACGTCCTTAAGTGGAACAGCAAGAAGGAGATCTAGAATAAATTTTGTGCTCTGCTGCTGGAGGGAGCAAAAGGAAATGTCTGTTTGTAAGGATTATTGCTGTCTAAGCACCAGATGGGCTTGACTGAGACATCCTGCTGTTTCTGAAGGAGCCAACCCTGTTTCAGGAGCATTTGTTCATAAGTAGTAGTTTGGGAAACTCTTAAGTCTTTTCCCTTTCAGCACACTCTTCAATTTGGCTGTATCTTTCTGAAAAATGAGGTGTCTAAACTGGTCCCAGTATACACCTTAGCTCATGGAAACCACTTCTGGCTCAGTAATGTCCTGATAGACTTTAGGAATGCTTGCTATGCAGCACCCATGTTATTAACAAAATCCTGAATACGGTTAAGACCAGGACAAACCCCTGTGGAACTCTACTTGAAATACTCTTTTAGTTTAGAAGTGATTCACAGAGTATGTTCTCAATGAGAGTCAGATAACCTCTTACAACAAACAGTGCTTTAATCATGTTTCTCTAGTTTGTATGTGATGATTTTTGTGTGGGACCTTAATAAAAGCATCAATTTTAATATGGGTTTTGTGCCCCTTATCTAGGTAGCTATCATAATGAGGAAGGAAATTAGACTGGTTTGACACAGTTTGGTCCTGAAAAGTCAGTTTTTACTGCAGAAACTATTTATAGGTATATTGAGGCCCAACATTTGAATTGTATATTTGTGAGATTTGAAGTTGGGCTGACTGTTCTCTAGTTTGCTCTCCTCCTTCCCCCATGACGTTCAAGGGGAGATATTTGCCCTGTAGATAGATGAGATATAAAAACCCAGTTCCAGAGTCTTGAGTTTCCTTTGTGACTGAAGTGGATTTTAAAAATTATTTTGATAAGTCATTTAAGGAGTTTTTCAGAGGCCAAGGAGAGCTACACCTGCCTAAGAACTTCATGGATCTCTTTGCCTCTCTTGTTATTTTTTGCCACAGTGTTTTTCCTTCATCCTTGTTTCTGTGAGAGCATTCAGTGTTGTAGTAGGGAGACATAATATATCACAGGACATAATATATACATGTTTGTCCAAAAGTTATGAAAATCTTCATGTTATGAAATGGTCACCTGGGTTTTTTCCATGTCTATTGTTCTAGTTTTAGTATGTGGCATTTGTTGGGGTCACAAAAGACTGAGAGCCAAAGGAGCCTCAAATAGAAAAAAAATAAAAACAAACCTCAGATCCCCAAAAACTTGCTGAGAATGGTAAGTACCATTGCTACACCAAGGCTATACACTGGTTTGAAACCTGTCACCTTTAAATCATTTCCACTAGATACAATTTGCTGCATAAATATGCCCTTTTTCTTTATTTCAGTAATTCTTTAATCCCTTTCTGGGACACGTAGTTTCAACTGAATTTTAATTATTGCCAAATGATGGGGAATTTTGTTTGCATGTTTTGTCACAGAGGCTGGATACATGACATAAACCCCATTGTCTCAAGGACAATTGCTCTTTGTGTTATCACTCAACCTTCTGAAATCTTTTGATATGGATTTTCATTGTTAGTTTGACCTTCTTTTTTGATCTTGCAATAGATTCAGCTGTTAGAGAGCTTCCCTACAATGAACCGTGCGTTAAAAATGTACTTATTCTCATAGGCATTTGTTTGTAGCCTGGATTTTGCACCTAGTTTTCTTTATCTTTTTAAAAATTCATGTTTTTAACTAGTATAATGAAATATAACAGTAATAAAACCACAACCTGCTACAAAAGTGACATTGTTCATTGGAAATTCTCTTTGATTTTTTTTGAAGGCTGGAATTGATGCTGTAGTG